AAGGATGTTCCTGTAGTGCTTGTGTTTTGTCCTTGAAGAAGAAACACTTTTATGTCCAACAGATAATAAAAATGTTCGAACAACAATAAAAATATGCCTACCTGGTAATATATAAAATTAATGATGACAGTCGCCGATTTCATTCCCATACAGGAAAAAAATGTAATTTAAGTTTTGTAAATGTTTTTTAATAATTATAATGATAATAATAACAACATAACACGGCCCTAAGAGTGCTATATTACCATCCACGGTATTGACGAGAGACCGGTGTTGCCCTACGCTCCGGGGAATATTGAATCCGTTGTGGGAATTCGGAAGTGCCGAATTTATTGGAACCATTCGTTCCCCACCCTCAGGCTCATACAAGCGAATAAGACTGATGTCCTTCTCGACCACCAGAGCAAAATGATATTTGTCGTGAAGTTTTCAGCTCCTAGCGAAATGAATATCATTAGAAAAGAAGAGGAAAAACGAATAAAATATCGAGATTTTCTCTTCGAACTCCGCATACTCTATCCAGATCACTCTGTCAAGATGTTTGTTCTGATTATTGGAGTCCTTGGTGGAATGATGCCCTCCCTACTCTCGAATCTTAAAATCATACAGGCTTGCCGCATTAAGGCAGAAATCTCAGCCGGACAGATGCAGAAGGCTGTCATTCTTGGCTCACTGCGCTTGCTCAGGACACATGATTCTCGGACCCAATGATCACTTACCCCACGGTGTGGGGAGTAGTCATTGACTGATAATGCTGGCGTGCCCTCCCGAATGTATCGGGGCTTCGGGGGATAGAGCCTGACCAGCGCCTACTTCGGTACAAAAAATTATTAATAATGTATGTAGCATATGTGATGGAATCGGCTGTACTTGATGAAAATCCATAACGTATTCAAAAAACACTTTATTGAGAGATATTCGCTAAACATATCCGAAAAACAGTATGATTTAAGTACCTAAATTTCAAGTACCTCAGATTTACCTAGCCAATTAATGTTGAATGCGTATCTGAGTTTGTACAGAATGAAATGACCAGTTTCCCATTTTGAAAAATTCAGTAACGAGGAGTTATTTAATTATAATTGGTCTTCGAATAAATAACCCAAATTCTTCAATCTACCCATTTCTCAACATTCAAACTTTTCTCTTCTGAATGTAACTCGTCATATTCACGATTGAATTTATGTCCTTCTCCCAAAAGATGGTTTGTAACTGTGGAATTGGTCTTTCCCTTCAAAAAACTACTTCTATACTCTTTATTTCATTAGGAAAAGTTCTCCCCGTTTGGCCAATATAAAGTTTTGGGCAAGAGCCACAAGCCACTGATATGTGTACTCCTGATCTATCCGACACTGATGTTTTGTCTTTATATTTTTTATGACTTCACTTATTCCTTCCATAAGCCACGACCAAGCATTCTCTTCTCAAAAAACTAGCGATATTATAGGTGGGTTCACCAAATATCGTCCTATAGCGGACGTTATGGTTTCTTGAATTTAGGTAGACCTGGTCCATGTATTATTTTTGTAGTTTGTTGGAAAGAATGGAGTCGATAATATCTACCTCATAACCGTTGTTGACAGCGATTTGTTTGATGAAACTCAGCTCTATCTGGAAGTTACTTTCAGACAGTGGAATATTCAATAGTCTATGAAGCATACTATTGAATGCAGCTACTTTATGTTGGTAAAGGTGTGTGGTGGAATTATGTATGACAATGTCTGTATAAGATGGTTTGTAGAAAATCATGTTTATTATTATTTTCGTAATAGTCGAGTCTAGGTGATTTATTGAATTATTTACCTTTCAGTGATGACTTTAATTGACGAGTGAATATAATTGACAAATTCGACAAACTTATCTAATTGCTTAGCTGTACCAATAAGGAAGATAACATCTACGTATCTGTACCAGTACGAGAAACCATTATTCTACTGATTATTTTGGATTTCGTTCCTACTATGTTATCCGTGAAGATTTCGTTGCATGAACAAAACTTTTCGTCGAATTGTAAATGATTTTGAGATAGACAAATAGTAAGTAAATCTAAAATTTCCTGTTTTATTAGTGAATTTACATGTTTTTTGTCTGAGAGACGATGAAAAAACTCAATTGTTTCAATTGCCGGAATACTGGAAAATAAATTTTGGACATCAAACGATATCGATTTCGAATCATCAGGAAGAATTACGTTTTTAATATTCTTTACTTATTGATAAGTATGTACTTTATATTATATTATATATTTCATATTATATATGAAATTAGAATAGGCATAGTCGAAGAAAACGATAAATGCACTCTTTAAGTTTCCGGCACTTTCAAAGGCCAAAAAACCAATACATAGAAATGAATCGGCTGCAAACTATTGTACGTGGATAACCTCATTATTTCAATTTTTTCGTGAATTAAAACGTTCAATATGTATTGAGACGCATTTAATTTCATAACGATATTTGGAGTTAAATAGTTTATTTGTTTTCATTACACTCTAGTCCAAATTGAAAACTGTTGAAACAAACTATGAGACTGCTTCGAAATATTAGTATGACCATTTTCCTTCCAAAGTTGGGGAAATTCGTAACCAATCATATTCAACAGGAAATTGAAAAATTCCTCAAAATTGGAGACAGGCTACTAAAGGAGACTAAATTTGATTAACTAACATTTCACAAAATAATAATTTTCAATTTTAGTGATTTCAATACATTCATTCCATTTTGTATTTTCTGAAGCTTCCTATTCGAAACCGTCAAATATGAAAATTTAAAAAAAAAACAAATTTTGATTTTTGAGTTGAAATTCGGTGTGGAGGGTCAAAATCGATTTCTAAGCAACTTTTTCAAATAACTTATTTCGGTATCCCCAACACGAAACAAAATATCGCCTTTTAGCGGAATCAAAGGCTATCACTCTGGATAAGTATTGCGAAAAGTGCGTCCCATGAAGGTCTACGCCTGTCCCAAAAATCGAATATCTGTTTTTAAAAATGACTAAAATACAAGGGTATCTTCATATTAAGTGTGTCACATTGTATATCAAATTTGTTAAAATATGTTTTTCCGTTAACCAGCTGTCGCACCCCTACGAACGACAACCCTCATAAGACGGAACTTATGCAAGCTAAGGATTAACGAGGTCTTACCTTTTAACGTGTGACTCCTAACACTGGTTGGACGATAGCAAGTGTAAATCGATAGTTTAGCCTGGAGCTTGAACCACCGACCAACCCGGCGGTCAATTCGAGTGAGTGAACAAAGCACCCACGTCGAACCGACCGGCTACCGACCGAATAAATTCACATATTCTGAATTAGGTATTGTCTAGTTCAGTAACTGCTAATTTCATTCATTTCTCATATTTATGAATATGGAGGGGAAGTCAGAGATTATAATACATCAACATCGTTTGAAATTTTGGTGTTGTTCGGTTTCTTTCACAATTTCGATATGGGAATTTTTTGTGTTTGCTGGTGTCCAATAACTGTATTTACTTAACCTCTGCCTATACAGTAAACATAGTTTTTTTTTAATATTTCATATTCATAATATGCCTAATGTTATTGGGAAAGAAAGTTTTTGGCTTTCTACTACTCCATCTGATACAAAAACTTTCTTTCCCAAAAAAATTAATCACTCCTAAAAATATAACCCCTTCAATCCTAATTTTATATTATTTATTTTATAGTTATTACTAATATACCTAACGGAAGCAAATTTTATGAAGTTTTAAGAATTGTTTTTAGGTAAAGAGTTCCAGAGTAGGTAATGAAAGGATAAAATTCGCGCATAAAATTGAAAGATTGTTCGACTAACCTGTAAGGAGGGACAATCTAAATTATCCGAGCTCATATTCCGAACATTTTTGTATGCGAAATCAGGTTAGGATTCAAACTGTTTTTTAATAAAAATGGTAACCAAAAAACATTTATATTTCATGACTATTGAAAACTACATAAGTTAAAAAAATTTAATTTGATATTGTTACACTTCTGGTTTATTTCCAGAACATCTAGCACCAAAATATGTAGGTGAGAAATGAAATAGAGTGTTTGAAAAAAGAATATACTCAATGACTATTTCAATGAAATATTTCCATCCTGAGTTCAGTGCAAATGAAATAACTATAGCAGGTACTCTCGTCAAAATATATCGAATAATACGTTAGGCATGTTAGAAAAATTTTATACTTTTTAATGTAATAAATACAAAATATATAATAACTAAACAGTGGAATAACGACAAACAAGTGAAATGAAATATAAAAGATAAAATCAGCCTTCAGAAATTCACAGCTGATTAGGCATAAACTTGTATTCAATAACAATACCATACAATACCCAACTGTTCAAAGGGTCAACCCCTGGGAGGGGTAAGCCATCTTAAACACCAAACGATACTTAAGAAAAGATTCAACTAGATACCTGTACAGTTGTTTTCGCGGGTCAGATAATTGAGGTTCATCATCGTTACACCTGTAAAATGGTTAGGTATGAAGTAATTTATGGTAGATCATAGGTACTCTCCTTTCAATACAAGTTGAATTCATGAACTAGTCTTGTGTCGTACGTTTTGAGAATTTAATATTTAATGCGTGTATTTTTCTATATTCAAAATCAATGGTACAACATTTGAGTCAGTCATTTGCAAATCTTCCAACACCATGAATCATCCAACGTCTGAATATTTTGAAAATTATTTAATTGATACACGGGTCGAAGAACCTATGTCATTCTTCATAATGAACAGTTTGCGTAACAAGAACAGAACAGCTGCAGCGTAAAGAGTATGACAATGAAAATGAACTACAGAAAATGTTATTCTGAAGAACAGTTTTCTAGGTACTCAAAAACAATGCCCTTGATTTGAAACTATAAAATTTTAAGGCACATCTGTTTTGATATAGAGGTACTCATTCAGTTTCATTCATCCTTTTTAATTCAATCCTGCCTATCAAACTACGATTATTATTGCTGAATGTAGACAAAAATATTCACTTACCCAATGCATCCCGGGCGTGTAAGAAGACCTTTCTTCAAACACTCCCATCTGCAGTGGCGGCAAACCCGATGCTTGGGAGTTATTTGACAGCGTTGCTTAGAACTACCGCTTCGTGTCACAAATTTCACTTCAGTTCCCAAATCAACCCACAATTTCTTCGACTCCAGCACTCAAAATCATCGCTGGTGTTTTTTTCGATGAGAATACGGAGGCTTATCATACATACACTTTAAAAGGTTCATCGTCAAAGTTCATCCATCAGCGGGAAGATAACGTTAAAAATTATGTCACACAAACAGTCAAATCGCAGTTGAAAGTGATAAAAACTTATTTTAAGACTACTATAATGTCACTCCCGTAAAAAACATTTATACGACGTTTTAATTATGCAGTTCAAAAGATCTTCGGTGTTACATAACACTCGATGCACTTGAATGTAGTGCTATTCCGTAAACAAACGTGCAAAAAATACGTGTAATGAGCAATTTCCAATAAAATTGTCGCGCGCATGTCACTTGATGTAGCCAAGCACTTATAAAACACTCACATTATGCCATTTAAACAGCATAGCATAGCATCCGCGCACGTAGACGGGTTGTATGCGGCTGTCGGAAAGCGCATGTGGGTACCGCTGACTCCGCTGGCTCCGCCTCCCTTCAGAGAGGGGTCTTGGGGGACACCTAGGAGGCGCACTGGAAGGGTCCTCGTATCCTATCCGAATCTAGATAGTATTTGTTCATAGATAGGGGATAGATGAATATGAAATTACTGTTTATTCACATTACATCTTTCGCAATGGTGTTTGCGGTATTATATTATATTGTTACAGGGAATGGAGCGATGTTAATCATAATTTGTGAGTATGTACAGTACCTATTGATGATGAATTCATTTAGAAACATTTTTCTTAAATTCGGTACTCAAATGATTAGTTTTCCAAATATAAAAAATGTTGATGAATATTGAATAAAACAATGGAGGAAATATGAAAATAATTAAGAACGTTTATACGTAAATTCAATGCATTTTTCACAAAATGTGTGCTAGTTATTAAAAACGAGAGAGCTCAAAGTTTCATAGTCACTTTTTTCAATAGTGAATTTAGGTACAAATTCATTCACTACTTCAAATATGAAAATATTCAAATGTTGATAATTGAATTAAGAAGGTAGGTATTCATGAAGAAATAATATGATAGCTCAGGAAAAAATTACCATGAATCTACAAATTATTGATGAACAACATAATTGGTAACTTGTTTTTTCTCTTTTCCTCTTTTTTCGATAAAATCGAGAGACGATATTGTCCACATTCATGAGTGCCAGACATAAGTCATGCTTGAATAGAACTGGCCGATACTTGATGAAAATCCATATCAAAACTCGTTACCTAATACAGTTTGTTGTATATGATTTTTACTATAAAGAGTTTTACAAAAACCGCGACAAGTATTCATTTCCCTATACAATAAATAGCTTTCTCATGCGCTATTAATGAGTTATAAGCCATGCTTTCTAATCTTTTTTATATTGAAACAATTCTTACAGTTGGTGTAATGAGAAGTTATCAAAAAATTATTTTCAGGCGAGGAAACATACTTCATCGCATGATATGAACGTCTCTGTTGTTTCAGAAGTTTCTTTACAGATAATTTTGCCACAATTCATCATCAGCATCATCAATAAAAAGATATTCAAATATTTGAATATTTTCAACTAATTTCAAGCTCATTTTCTCAAGTTGCATAAAAATGGATGCCTGTAAAGATATGGATAATTCTTGCTCTTGTCTCCATGAAAATAGGGCGAACGAAACTAATCTTCGTTTTTAGAATTGATAAATATGACTTGTGGTTTCCATCTTTGATTCGTTTTATTTTCAAACTTCCAAGACAGATGTCGAAGAACACTTTAAATTGCTATTTCTGATTTGAATATTCAGTAATCTCTTACATATGAGTATTCATTAGGCTCGATGAATCTCATTCGAATTTTTCAATTCCTATGACAATAAAACTCCTTTGAAATGAATCAAGAGTGATTTTGGTCAGTCATAAAATGAAAGAGTTCTTAAACAGTGGAGTTCAAGGTGTACTGAGTTGAATCTCAAAACGATGAGCACCCACAGTCCATCACGTAATTCTGATATGTACCGCTCTTGGTACAATCAAAGGTGCCAAGTCACTTGAACACCTCCTGTAAAAATAGACACATCTCCAGCTTTTTTTCGAATTGACCGCCATGTTGGTCGGTGGTTCAAGCCCACGGCTGAACGATCGATTTTTACTTGCAATACTCCAACCCATGTTAAAAGGTAAGAACTCGTTAGTCTTTAGCTCGCACAGGTTTCGACTGCTGAGGGTTGTCGTTCGTAGGGGCGCGACAGCTGGATAACGGAAAAACAGATTTTAAAACAGATTTTCAAACAAAGTACAGCAGCTTCTGAATATGCTCAGGGACGGAGCTCGATACATGGAAACAATAATACTCCAAAGAATGTCTGATCTGAGATTTATAAAGCATCAGAAGTTGCTGACGTGTGTACAGTTTTCTAATTCGAGACAGTGTTCCAAGCTTTTGATAAGCAGCCTTTGCAACTCCAGCGACATGATTGTGCCAAGACATATTGTTGTCCATTTCAACCCCCAATGAACTTATCGAAACAAAAATCGAAATTGTCTAAATTGAAATTGTCTATTTTTAGTTATGGATAATTCTTACTGTTATCTCTAATTTCTCATGAAAATAGGGCAAACGAAACTATCTTCGTCTTCAGAATTGATAAATATTATTTGTAGTTTCCATCTTTGATTCGTCTTATTTTCAAACTTCCCTGACAGATGTCACTTGTGATTTAAATATTCAGCAGTCTCTCGAATTTGAGTATTTTGAAAGTCTTATAGAATCATTCAATTTATTTTATTTATTATAGTAATCTACAGAACAAGCAGTTCCAATAAGCAATTACAATATCAGAAACTAATTAAATAATCATTCTCAATATAATACAATGACTGAAACTAAATCAACCGAATCAAAATCAAATTCAAAGACACATTCACTTGAAAATCACAAATGGACCTTTTTTCATTTGAATTGACTATCAGTTACAATTAGTAATAATTTCTAAGGATGACATCTCAATTTCAATATTTAAAAAAAATGTTTTCACATTACATTTAACAAAGAAACAATTTGCAAGACAAATGTATTCATTAGGCTCGCTGAATATCATTCAGATTTTTTAATTTCTATGAAAATTGAACTCCTATGAAATATATTGAGAGTGATTTAGGTCAGACATGAAATGTCAATTAGTCGTTGCTTTCAATTCAGTCTCACAAACTTTTGCACTGAAATAACACATCAACTTCCACTATGATGACAATTCGAAAATTCCCTGACTACTCTGGACTTACTGGACGCTACTTCATTACTGAATACAAAGTTATTTCAATCCTATACAACTGGGAACTTGATTTATGAAAACAAATTGTGCACAGAAAATTCATTTTGCTTCTCCTAGTGCAATAGCATTTTGTAGGATGAAGTAGTTGTTTCAAATGGATTTTTTCTTTCAGTTTGTATGTGAAACAAATACCAGTGGATGATATTCATTGATATTGCGAAAAAAAATTCTCTTCGCGAATTCTGTATACGTATCATTGAATATATATAGCGAGTCAAAAAAAGGTGTTTGTTTCCTAATCATTGGAGATATGGCGAGTCGAAGAAGTTTGTTCTCCCAGGGAGCTTAGTTCTTTGAAATGACATCTTTCAGAAATTTGTCAGCCTGCATAATTTTAAATAAAGAGTACAATAAAAATGAAACAATTCGAGCCTTACAGATATTGAACCCCAATACTGAAACAAAAATATAAATTTCATGAAAGGGTCTAATGAAAAGAACGTACAAAAGTTCTGAAAACTGTGATGAAAAATAACTACCTCAATAAACATCTTTCAAAATTCTAGGAAATAATCTGATATAAGACTTTAGAAATGAAAACACACAAATAACTTTTAAAAATGTGAAACTCTCTAGAAAGTATTTTTCCAAGTTCAAGACTATCACTATATTAGAACTGCAAACTAAAGAAATATGGCAGATACTAGGAACAATTTTGTTATGCAGTCTAGATTCAATGGACAGAAAAAATGTTACCTACAAATTACACAATTTGATTTTGTGAACACCGGTATAATATTAATAAAATAATCCGTTGTCATTTCTCATCAATTAACTATTTTATCATGTGTCCATTATTTATAATTCTGACTGGGACATTTATCTACATTAAAATCTGAAAGACGTTTCCATAATTTATGATAAGTATAGTGAATAAATTGATGGATGTAGCCGTTAGTTCTTTCTATGTTTTCTTACCACTTGTAATTGTAATTAACGTTACTGCGCTTTACTATAAGGACATTTTCGAACAATAATAATAAACTGAGAATGAATCATATTATTAGCCTTATATGTAGGTGATAATAGAGGTCCTTAACTCAATCGAGTACCTGAAGATTGTTTACCTGTGACAATGTGTATACGCTAATTTAAAAAACTGCTGAGTGAACTAGATCGATTTGATCATTCAGCAGATTTCATCCGCAATGCTTATGCTTATGAATTTACAAGGATTCCAAATAATTGAGTTTCCAACCCTTGCTTGCATAGTGCAAAATCTCCGTATCGTTCAGATTCGGGAACTTGTAGTTGCATTCCACGAAATGGTTTGAAAACATCGAATCATTTTTGAATAGTCTGAAGGACCTTTCATGTTCAGCATACAGTTTTGGGAAATTTCGACCACACTATCCAACATTAACACTATAACACTCCGGATAATTAAGCTTACAAACTCCAGATTTCTCCATCTTATCCACTTTATTTTTGGCATTTAAAAGGAAATGATCTTACCGGGCATGTGGTCTGACCGTCACCTCCACTTTGTTTTTCTGATAACATTATGACTTGTTTTCAGTTTATTGTTAATTGTTTGAAAATGTCCTTATTGGTAAAAAATTAAAAGTGGTAAAAAAAAAGGATTTGTTTTCAAAAAGAGTGAGTACCCAATTACAGGAAATGCTATCATTACAGAGTATATATGAAATAAATATTAAAAATGATGCAATATAGAATATAAAAATATAGTAAATGCTAAAACAAAGTATATGTAAAATATGCATTAAAGTAGAATTTCAAAAGAGGAATGAAAAATTGAGTATATAACACCAAAAGTTACAAATCATGCAATGAAGCAGTACTGACACAAATGTTATTTATAGTATTATTAAAAGTGATTGTGGATACAAGATACCAAGGCGTTCAGAGAGTCGAAATGAATATCGCAGTGTTTATAGATTTTATTGAAGCTACTGCATAACATTTGTGCTTGATGCTTCGCAATAGAATTTCAGATTGTGTGTTAAAAAACATAGAAAGTTTCATTTCCCATTTTTCAGTAAACAAGACAAATATTGAAATATGAAACGTAAAAGAATGATAAATATCCAATCTGAAACAATACTGTTCATAAACACCAAAACTACACTCTTCTCGACGCGAGCTTCACCAACCGTCTGCAG